CATTACTTTTTCAAACAGGTTTTCTATCCCTTGCTCCTCCTCTTCTTCTGGTACTCCTATGATATGGATATTGTTACGTTTCAGGTTGTACTGCATTTCCCTAAACACCTCTTCATTCTTTTTGAGTCTTTTTTCATTTCCTTGCTCTTTCTGGGAGCTTGAAAAAGGCTGATTTTTTAAAAACAAATTTTCTGTGAATGTGTTTACATTTTTTTTTGTTAATAACTAGAAGTGGAATTGCTGGGTCATATGGTAAGTATGTACATATTTAAATTTATAAGAAACTACCAAAGTTTTTTCCAGAGATATTATTTATTTTTATTTTTCGAGAGAGGAGTAGGGAAGGAGAAAGAGATGAAGAGAAACATCAGTGTGAGAAACATTGATCGGTTGCCTTTCACATTCCCCTAGCTGGGGACCTAGCCTGCAACCCAGGCTCGTGCCCCGGCAGGATATTGAATGGGTGACCATTTGGTTCACAGGCCTGTGCATAATCCACCGAGTCACACCAGACAGGGCAGCCAGACTGTTTACCTACACAGCTATGCCATTTCTAGCTCCTGCCAGCAGTGTAGGAGATACTCAAGCACGTCAAATCCTCATTATCACTTCGTATTCTGTTACATGTGTAGTGAATAGCCCATTATGGTTTTAATATGCATTTCCCTAAGTAATGATATTGGGCCTCTTTTCTTGTGTTATTTTGCCATCCCTGTATTTTCTTTGGTGGGGTATCATCATATTTTTGCTTATTTTTAATGGTGCACTGAACTTTATCCTGGTATATGTGGTGTGTGGAATAAATTCCGTGTCTTTTTAATACAGCTATTCAGTTCTCCCCAAACCACATATTAAAAAGTCCATCTTTTCCCATGGTGTGAGTTTCTACTTTTATCATAAACTCAATTTGTCAATAATTATTCGGATCTATTTCTAAATATTTTTATCCCATTCCTATGAATTACAGTTTTTTGAGTCCTAAAGGGACTTTAAAGATATCCTAATCTCTTATTTATCTGAGTAATGTTTTCAGAACATGTTACAACTTCTCTCTTTTCAACATCTCATTATTAGCAATGAAAATCATACTTTTTTTTTGTTATGGTTCAGGGGTTTTATTTGTTAAAATATTGGCACTGTAAATTGCAATTTTGGGCAAAGCAGAGCTCAATGAAATCAGTGATGCTTATTATTATCTGGGTTTAAAAGATGTTATTTCATAAAATCTGACTTTATTTTAAATACTTGTTAACCCAGTTCTCATGCTGTTTTCTCCCTAATCCATGTAAAAGGAGAGAGTAACTTTCACATGTTTACATTTATTTGGAAATGAGAGCTGGGAAGAGAGGGAATTCAGTTCCACATTCTTCAGATAAGTATAACATAAAACCAATATCTTTTCATTTATTCCCTTTAGATATATAAAGTTTATAATTTATAGAAAGAAAGTTAAAAAAACAGGTTTCTTTTTGGTTCTGTTTTGCTGGTTCTTATTTAAAATTTATTGTTTTTAGAGAGAGGGAGAGAAACACTGATGTGAGAAAGAAACATCGAGATTGGTTGACTCTTGCTTAAGGTCTGACCCGGGACAAAACCCATAACCTAGGCATGTGCCCTGAGCACCAGGGACCCTTTTCTTTGCAGGGTGACACCCAACCAACTGGGCCACACCAGTCAGGACAACTAGTACTTACTTAAAAACAACTCTTTCTCCCTTAAGGATACCAGTCTGCTATGTATTTAGAGAATTATTATCTTTGTAAGATACAGATGTATAAAGTGTCTTTGTTCACCTTTGTACATTAACTCCCTTCTTTTTTGCTTTTATTCTTTTTTATTTCTCACCATTTCTACCAAGTCATTTATCTAGGTATATTTATTCTAGTTATATAAGATAGCTTAAAGAATTTTAGGATACTTGTTACTAAAAGAATGGTGCAGGTTGCTAGAAGAACTTTAGAGGGAAGTTGTTATTCATCAAGTAATCCCTATTCTAAAAGCGGCCTGGAATGTAAGATGCACACTGTCCACAGAGATAGTACGTGTGATGAATACGTTCCCAGGTCAGTGAGCAATGCCGTGGAAAAAGACATTCAGAATTTTAACCTAGGCTGCCACAGTCCATCTCCCTGATTTGTCTCCTTTTGGTAACTCATTCATTCATTTATCAAACATTTACTGAGGAGCTTCTTTTTTTCTTTTAAGGTGCTGGTAAGGGAATTTACTTTTATTGAGGGAGTGAGAGAAGGAAAAGTTAATGTTGAAGGGCTGGACCTCAGAAATTTAAATAAAGATAAATAACATCCGAGTGCTCACGGATTTCACAGCTACCTGCCTTAACTTTTACTTTTTATCTGAACTATTCTATAATTTAAGAATTCAAGCTTTGTATCATATGCTACTGACATTCAATCCTCTAGTCAGGGATTTTTGCAGTCCAGGTACTGGAGAAAAAGGGGTGATTGCTTTCACAGAGTAGAAGATTAGAGATGAGAACCACTCTTTATACTTTCCAGGTCTGTACTCTTTTGTTTCTCAGCAAACCCACCCCCCTCACCCCGCACCCCCGCCCGACACACACAGTATGGTAAATAGTTGATTCTTTTTTCAGTACTATATGCTGAAGAATTTCTTAATTTCCTCTGCTGTTCTAGGACTCCTGTCATACAGTTTTCATTTGTGGTTTTACACATTTTAATGTTAACCAGAGTAAATGTCCTGTCATAACTATTTTCCTTAAAGTAATTTTTCTGTATCATATACTTGTGCATTGAGATGAATCACCCTACTCTCCAAATAAATTCCCTCAATATTTTGATGACATTTTTATTCAATTTATACATTGATTTACAGACTTTTGAAACCTTCACAATATTGTTTTCTCAGTTTAAGTTTTTAATTTATATTTCTCAGTAAAATTTTATAGTTTTTTTCATAAAGTGTTTCATGGTTATTTTTTAAATTACATAATCTAATTGGCTATTGATTTTACTTTGGGAAGCTATTTTTGTTACTTATTGAGAAATCATCTTAAGAAACTCTAATAATTCTAAACTATTTTTAAGTTCTGTTCTTGACAGAATTGTATCATCTGAAGAGATGGAATTTTGCCTTCTTCTAATGCTGAAATCTCTTATTTTTCTTACCCAGCTATATCAGATAGTCCTTCCAGAGTGATGTTAACAACTCTGTTGACAGTGGGCATTAATACCTTAAGTCTCATTTTGCTTTTAAATATTGTCAATATTTTAGCATTAAACATGATGCTTTCTTGGTTTGAGAAAGTTTTTTCTAAAGTCCTGAGAGTTTCTTTTTCTAAACAGGGCTAATTTTTTAAACCGTCGATAGCCTTTACTAAATTTCTTACACTGATTCTGTTTTCACCTAGGAAACAATGTTGTTTCACAAGTCTCTCCACTTTGGATCCTCTCTCTGTTAATTTGTACTGTGAATTGCTGTATACAGGTTCTTTTCTCAAAATCAGTTTGATCATGTTTTACTTATATTCCAGGGAATTATTGCACTTTCCATGTTATGTAGTGAAAAAAAGTTCAGACTTCTCAGGCAATTTATATTATGTTTCTTTTTGGTCAGAGCATATCCCTTTCTAGTCTTTACGTTTGTCAAGAACAATGGTAGCTCTGCTCTCTTACCCTGCTTGCAGGTTCACATGTTAGCCTACCATAGTTTTATGGATTCTGGTAGAAGATATGAGTCCCTTGGGTCAGAGTCAAGGATGGTTTATTACTCACAGCAATCACATTAGTGACTGTATCATCATTTTTCCTTGTACCAATTATCCAAGCCCCAGTTTCCATAGGGTTACTTGACTGGGGCCAGGTGATGCCAGTATACACAGTTTCATTACAGGAGAGGACCCTGAACATTCTCTGGAATCTCAGCCTGCTTGTTTCTTTAATTCACCCCTTTTGTTCTTCACAATTTTGTCCCCACATCATCTTGATTTAAGACTCCATCTCAACTTCCATATCCCCGTAGTGGACCTTGTGTCTTTGAATGTGCTGCTTGTGCATATTAGGTTCCTCCTATTCCACACACTCCAGTGATTATTCTTGGTTTGCACAGTGGCCTCCATCTTTTTTTTCTCTTTGGAGAATTTGTATGCTCTCTCGTTTTTCCTGCCATTCTCTGCTTTGGTCTGTCTTAGTGTTTGGAGAGTGCCTGCAGGGATATTTATTTTTTGTCTCTCACAGAACTCTTTAGGGCAGTGTATGGGTTAGGATGTGTTCAGTTGTAAGGAACAGATAACCCACTTTAATGGATAGAGTTTTGTTTCTGATAATGGGTTTTTTTTTTTTTTTTTTTTTTTTTTTTTTTAACATTTAAAACGTCTGGAGCTAGATCATACTGGTGTTGATTCAGCTTTTTAGCAATACTCTTTTCTGTAAGATTTTCGATGTGCTCTTTCCACATCTGAAATTTTCTTGTTCTGTAATATATCTGCAGTTCCCAGTTATACCCTTCCTTTAAATTATAAGCTCTTTCACAGAGTCTTTCTATAATACTTTCTCCCCAGGTTTAGAGGAAAAAAACAACAAAACTCTTATTGTATGTACTCACAGGTACTAATAAGCTAGAAAATGGCCTTTATCATTAGGTTTTATATATCTGTCTTATCTTCCCTGTAGACTCTAAATTCCATGCCTGTGGTGTATATTTTGTTGCTCTCTGAAAAATGCCTTGCTTAAGGTTGATACAGTTTGTTTACTTGTCGAATTGATGATACAGGATGAGTGAATCCTACCTTTAAGCAAACCTTGAGAAAAGATATTGGGTGTGAATATGGAGGTTTGGGTTTTAAGCAAGTAATTTAATTTATAGGCATTAAATGTATATATTATTGAAAGGAACACTTTTATTATGTAAATCAGTTTTTGAATGCACAAATATTTTAATACCATCAAGTGTATCTTCACATATTACCAAAACGTTCTAGTAATACTATGTAAAATAAAATGGAAACTATTTTTTTCTTTCAGTGCTTAGATGAATATGAAGATGATGAAGCGGGGCAGAAAGAGAGAAAAAGAGAAGATGCAGTTACACAACAGAACACGATGCAGAATGAAGCTGTTAGCTTATTAGATCCAGGCAGTTCCTATCTGCTACAAGTAAGTATTTAAAATACTAGGGTGTCACTAGTTATTTCGACAATAATTTAAAAGTTACTATTAATAATTTTTCTGGTTTCATCTTGGATGCATCAGCGCCATTAAAATATTTTCAAGGGATTTTACCACTGGGTTTCTTTATATAAAAATACTTTTGACTTAAGCAGTCTTGGGTCTTTATTTCACAATCAGTGAATATTTGCTGACTAATAAGCAGGTATAAACAGTGTCAATGGTAAAAATAACCAAGAATAATAATTATCTCTTTGCTCTTAAAGAGGTAAAAATTAGCAAGTTTAAGTGTGTTTACAGTTCTGTTTTAGCTTGATAATTTGTTTTAGAATTGCATAGCAAATGAACAGTTGAACAGCAAATTTCTATAAAGTCAAACATTTAAACATAATAAGAGACAAAATTGGGAATTGCTAGAAACACCTATATTTCTGTATAATCATAAAATTCAACTCCGGTTTAAATGAACTATTATTTTTAATTCTTATGGCACAGAAAATTAGGAGTTGGTTGTATTAAGATGCCTCAGTATAAAGTAAATCACTTTGCAAAATTATTTAATACAAGCTAATTTGGGCATGCTCTTGACATAATCTAATCTTAAACTGCTTGATGGTGTTTTGAGATCTTAAGCTATTGTGTTGTCTTTTCAGAGTTCCAATTTTGACTTTTTAAATTTTATTAAAATACCACTTTAAAAGGAGTTTTCAATACAATCTTCCCATTTTATTGGTGAAGAAAAGGAAATAAATTGGTCTGTTAATTTGCAAGGTAATGATAAATAGACATTTAGCAGAGAGAGGGTCAAAGAATTTTGAAGTGGTCTGGAATGCAAATTAACCAGTGCCTGGTGAAATAAACCAGTCGGAGAAAGACAATTGCCATGTGATCTCACTTATATGTGTATCTAATGAACAAAATAAACTAACAAAGTAGAAACAGACGCATAGATACAGAAAACAGAGTGGCAGCTGTCAGAGGGGAGGGGAGATGGGGAGCTGAGTGAGAAAGGTGAAAGGATTAAGCAAAAACAACAGCAACAACAAAAAAACACCTCATAGACACAGACAACAGTATGGTGATGGCCAGAGGGAAAGGGGCATGGGGGGGCGGTAGGGGAGGGTAAAGTTGGCATACATTGTGAAGGAAAGACACGTGACTTTGGATGGTAAACACAGAATACAATATACAGATGATGTATTATATAATTGTACACTTGAAATCTATATAATTTTATTACCCAGTAGTACCCCAATGAGTTCAATTTTTAAAAAAAGCTGAGAAAAAAGGGGGGTGCAGAGAAAGCATTTTTCTGTGAGCCTTGGTGTCTGGATGCAAAATACGTAAGCAGTGCTTAATCTCTCCTGAGGTTTTTTTTTTTTTTTCCTTTTTCTCAAAGGTCTTCCCCTACTCCTCCCCTTTTTAGGATGGAGCAGTGATTACAAAATACATTAAACACGATGAGAATCCTAATATGGAAAAAAAAAATCTGGGCCTATTCCAGGTGAAGATATAGGCTTGACTTATTGGGATAGAGACCTGGTTTCAAGACCTAGTTTCAATTCTTGATCATGCCACTTATTCTTGCATACTCAGTAATACCAGGCAGTAACTTGTAGAAAGAGGGTTGATTTTTTTCTGTGGAAAAAAAGCTCTTAACCAGTCAATGCTGGGGTGACTTGTGTTAGAATACATAGTTATTCCCAAATAAGTACCCAGATATGGAACAGTCTCAGCTGATTTGGACTCTCTGAGGAGCTCTCTGCCTCATACAGTTTATCTTTTCTTCTTAACTTTTCTAATCTCTTCCCAGGCCCACTCTTACTGGTTTCATTTTTCTTTGTTTCATTAGCAGTTAGGATGTGACTCAAGTTTTTTTTACCTTGGTTCCAAGTGTCTGCTTGGCCAGGTTATGTGCCTGAGATGAAAGTGGGGCTCTCTTCCATTGATGTCAAATTGCCTCATTCAAGTTGGAGTGGGAACAGACACTCCTCGCTCTGTCTACATAGTTGACCTCTCTCTGAGTTACTACCTAAACTTAACGTATTTTACTGCTCACAGAGGATAGATATTAATTTGCAACTCCAACTTCAGAAAGTGAAAACCGGAAAATTTTGGCATCATTGGTTGATTTAAGGCTTTTTAAAAAATTGTTGTTCTATTACAGTTGTGCAGATTTTCTCCCAATACTCTCCTCTGCCCCGCCCCCCCACCCCTCTCCCCTGCTTCCACTGTCATCCCCACTCTGTTGTCCATGTGCATGAGTCATTTATACCTGTTCATTGATTAGACCCTTCCACTTCTTTCCCCCGCTTATCCTCCACCTCCTTCCCCTCTGGTCATTGTCATTCTGTTCCTTGTTTCCATGTCTCTGGTTCTTGTTTGTTTTGTTCATTAGGCTTCTTTTATAGGAGAGATCATATGGTATTTGTCTTTCACCCCCTGGCTTACTTCGCTTAGTGTATGGCTGTCCATTTCCATCCATGCTGTCGCAAAGGGCAGGAGTTCTGTCTTTCTGATGCCTAGTGTTCCATTGTTTAAATATACCATAGTTTTTTTGATTCACTCATTTACTGATGGACACTTAGGCTGTTTCCAGCACTTGGCTATTGTAAATAGCGCTGCTGTGAACATTGGGGTGAATATCTTCTTTTGAATTTGTGTTTCAGGATTCTTAGGGTATAAACCCAGCAGTGGAATTGTCAGGTCAAAAGGCATTTTTAGTTTTGTGAGGAAATTCCATAGTATTTTCCACAGAGGCTGCACCAGTCTGCATTCCCACCAACAGTGGACTAGGGTTCCCTTTTCTCCACAACCACGCCAGCACTTGTTTGCTGATTTGCTCATGATGGCCATTCTCACTGTGTTTTTAATTTTCATCTCTCTGATAACCAGTGATGCTGAGCATCCTTTCATATGTCTCTGGGCCCTGTGTATGTCCTCCCTGGAGAAGTGGCTCTGTTCAGGTCCTTTGCCTATTTTTTAGTTGGATTGTCTGTCTTCCTGGTGTGGAGTTGTATAAGTTCTTTAGGCATTTTGGAGACCAAACCCTTTTCTGAGGCATCATTGGCAAATATGTTTTCCCCTACAGTTGGTTCCCTTTTCATTTTGATGATGTTTTCTTTAGCTGTGCAGAAACTTTTTAATTGGATACAGTCCTATTTGATTAGTGTTCCCTTTATTTCCCTTGCCCTGGAGGATGTATCAGCGAAAATATTACTGAGTGAAGAGGACAGAGAGACTGTTTCTTAGCATTATCTGTGAGTCTGAGCCATTTACTGAAACAAATCTTCACTCATGAAGAATAAAATAGGAATGTAAATTTGGCTTAACAGTATGCCTCAGGAAAGGTTAGAGTATTTTGAGATTATATTTCACAGTTTTCAGATAGTGTGTAGTGTTAAAAAATAATTGTAAAAGTTTCTTACAGTTTTAACTGATTTTATACATACTTTACCATGTTTTCTTCTAGATAATCATGCCAGTTTATAAAGTAATATATTCTTTGATTAACTAATACATGGTCAATGGGAAATTTGAAAAATAATAAAAATGTAAATAAAGGGGAAATTACTTAGTTTGGTCTGTTTATTTTGTATTTTAATGAAATATTTATTAAATTATTAACTTTTTCTTTACTTTGCATTTTAATGAACTATTTATTAAAGCTTAAACTTTTTACAGGTTAATTTATCTTAAAAAATACAGAGTAAAAAAAAAAGTAAAAACTGTGAAAGAGTATATGGTAAAAAGTCTCCTGTAGCAACCTAGCTATCTTCCCTGGAGGCAACTAGTGCTTCCTTTTCTTGTATATCCTTCCAGAGGTATCTGTATGTCTATATATATTTCTGATTTTAAGCACATTGTTATGCATCTTGCTCTTTTCTTTTAACATTGTATAGTGAACTCCATAATAGTATACAAAAGGCTCTTCTATTATTTTTTTGCCAGTGTGCAATGTTCTTTTTTATAAACGCACCATAAATTTCTAATTTCTGTTGATGGTCATAAAGTCTTTCACTATTACAATGTGGTGGTGAAAAACTTTCAGTATATTATTTTGCATATATGTATGTAAATCAGTAGAATAAAATCCAAGCACTGAAATTTCTGAGTGCAAAGGAATGTCATTTGCTATTTTGTTGTTTCCAGAATGTCCTATGTGAGTGTTGCAGCACAAACTTTTTTTATGTTCAAAATTCTTTTTGTATTATTTTCAATGGCATAGAATTTTATTTTTAATGTGAATTAACGTTTAAGGCAGATTTCCAATTAATGGACATTCTTAGTGGTTAAGGTTTTTTACTATTGTAAATAATACTGGAATTAACATATTTATAGATTAAACATTTTGTGTTTGAATTATTTTCTTGGGCCAGATTTCCAGAGATACACTTACTGGGCCAAAAACAAAGTATTGTAAAGATTCTAAAAATTTCTGATCCATATTGCTTAAATCACTTATGAAAAAAATTTTGTCAGTTTATATAATAAATGTCATTTTCTGAGAGAGCATTTATGAGTTTTATGTTCCTTCTCAAACAGTCTCAAATTTACTGAAAAGTTACAAGTACTATACAGAGAACTTTTTCCCCCTAGAATTTTGAGAAAACTTGCTAACCTGACGCCTTGTTACCCTGTACTTTGCTGCGTGTTTTCTACAAACAAGATCTCCTATGTAACCACAACACAGCTCTTAAAATTGGGAAATTAAAATCGATACATTCTTACCATTTAATATTCAGACCTTATTCAAGTTTTGCCAATTTTTCCAGTCATGTCCTAAATTATAGCAAAAGGATCTAGTTCAGGATCATGTGTTGCATTTAGTTGCCATAATGGTTTCTTTCGATCTGAAACCGTTGCATAGTCTTTCCTTAACTTTCTTAATCTTAACGCTTGTAAAGATTACAGGTCAGTTATTTTGTGATATATCCTTCTATTTGGGTTATCTAAAGTTTACTAATAATTAGATTCAGGTTATAGTA